TAGAATAAACTGTTTAAATGTAAATAATTAAATTTGTTGTTTTCTGGCTCATTCTTCAAAGTTTCACTAAATTTTCATAAAAAAACGCTGAATAACATAATTGAATGAAATCATTCGAAGCGTCGCCGTCGGTGACGGTTTCCGTCGCGGTGCATCCCTACTGTTGCTCCACTGCTGCCTCCTGATTGGCTGATCACTGTGCTAATGGCATGTTCTGTTTTTCTTTCTTTCTTGCACTCTCACCACTTCCTGCCTGCTCCACCTCTCAACTCATCCAACTCGCTCCTCTTTTATTTTTCCTGCTGTGTTTTTTATGGGAATGACCCTTTATGGGGCTGTGCTGTTCCTCTGGCTTTCTCATTGGCTGACGCTGCTGTCATGTCAAACGGGTGCATGACCAATCGCAGCCCAATCGGCGGTTTTTCATCCCGCCCCAGTCCCCGGACCTGTGTCAGTCCCCCAACTGCAGCCCCACCCACTCCCTTGAGGTCCGCCTCAACGGGGTGGGGCCGCGCACGCCCAACTCCTACCATCCAAAGATGGGGTCCCCCCTCATGCACCCACGCACCCAGACTCTCCCGGCCAAACCCAGAGCGTCCGAGAAGCCCCTGCAGACCACCAGGTCCAACCCGCTCCCCAACTCAGTCCAGACCCCCACCACCCCCAAATCTGAGCCCTCCACACCCTGCCAGCCTCTGGCGCCCTGCATCCCCAACAGCCCCCGGGTGAGACGCCACCCTCCCCTGACCGTGCCCCCAAAACTCTCCATCCCTCTCTCCCCCGTGCCTCCCATGTCGCCCCTCCGCCGCCACCACCTCCACCCTGACCACAATGGCAAATCTGTCCCCATCACGCAGGTGACCCCTCACCCCTCCCCAAGAGGGAGCCCTCTCCCCACCCCCAAAGGCACCCCGGTGCACACGCCCAAGGACAGCCCGGCCGGCACGCCCAGCCCCACGCCCCCGCCCAGCCCTTCCATCGGCGGTATGCCGTGGAGGACGCGCCTCAACTCCATTAAGAACAGTTTCCTGGGCTCGCCGCGCTTCCACCGCCGGAAAATGCAAGGTAGGGGGGGGGGGGTAAATACAGTATCACACACATTAACACACACAGTAACACACACAGTAACACACACAGTAACACACACACTTTAACACACACACTGTGTAACACACTGTACATCATGTAGCTCAGGGGATAAATACAAACCCTCTCTGTTGTCGTCTCGGCTTCATCTGAGAATCATCCTCAGGTCGACACCTGTGACATCACAGGAAGTGACCCGGGCCAACGGATAAAGTTTTTATTGAATCTGTAACAAACTGAATTCAGCAGGACCATGTTGTGTAACTCTGTGACCTTTGACCTCTGCTCAGTTCCCACCCAGGAGGACATGTCCAGTCTGACCCCCGACTCATCTCCAGAGTGAGTGACTCGTCGTTTAACCTGATGTGTTTATAAACATGGATTTTATTTTTTCCATTCTCTGTGTTTTACCTCGATCACTAATACTGATAATTATCACATCGGGAACATTACTGCTACTTGTAGTATTTCTATATTGTATGTGTTTGTTTTCAATATTAAAACTTTTTCTGAAAAAGTCAAATTCTAATTGTCAAACACGTGGAACTCTGTTCTGCTGCTGGACGCTGGAACCAGCTCGGTCTGACTCGTGCTTCATCATCTCTCCTCTTCCTCCCTGCAGACTGGCGAAGAAGTCATGGTTCGGTAACTTCATCAACCTGGAGAAAGAGGAGCAGATCTTCATCGTCATCAGAGACAAACCCCTCAGCTCCATAAAGGCCGACATCGTCCACGCCTTCCTCTCCGTGAGCTCCTCCTCCGTGTCTCCCTCTGTCGTCTCCTCCGTTCACGTCTCGTCTCTCCACTGACTCAGAAGCTGTTTGTTTGTCTCCTTCAGATTCCGAGTCTCAGCCACAGCGTCATCTCTCAGACTAGTTTTCGGGCGGAGTACAAGTCCACCGCCGGGCCCACGGTTTTCCAGAAGCCGGTGAAGTTCCAGGTGGACATCACCTACACCGAGAGCTCCGGAGCCACCAAGGAGATCGGCATCTACTCCGTCACCTTCACTCTGCTCTCAGGTACGAACCCTCACGTTCACAGAGAAACGCAGATCTTTGGTTTGTTCCAGAGTTTGATTTGATCTGATGAGTTTTAGTTTTGGCTTCACATGATTAAATAACTTTGTCTGACAAACGTCTGAAGCGTGTTTCAGTTTCTGTTTGTTAAATGTACTAAATCAAGTCAAAGAAAAACAATCAAGTAAAAGTCGCACGGAGACGACAGCTTGTTCTTCAATTTGATTAATTAATTGATTAATTGATTGATTGATTAATTGGTTGATCAATCAACCCGCCAATAAACCAAACAAAGAAGAAGAATCAGTTGAAAAACTTTTGATAAAAG